TTATTTATATATCTACTATGGTACCCAACGCCGAAGATGCGGAAGTAAATTTCACGTCAAGAAAAGTAATATATCGAAATAATAACATAAGCTTAGAAGATTAAGTCGGTCAACTGCTGTCGCGTCGCCACTACAGTATCTACTGAGATAGCTGTGTCGACAGGCTCACTGCGATCCCACCACAGCTCACTTGACAGACATATCAATTCACACTCAAGGGACATACTTGATGACTGTTCCTGCTACGAGACTTACTATCTACTGAGAAGCTAGCTTTACAACAAAATTCAACATACTTCCGCCCATATGCTCTTCATTGGTCCGTATGGTCCGTATATGCCCATCTGGGGGCCTGCTAAGCTTACGAATGTATGGATGTGATGGTCGTCCATAGTCTCCTGAGAAGATACAAAGAAAATATCACAATTTGACATGACGTATAAAGATATATAGATGGGAATGTGCGCATGCTCCAGCCATCATTATGTGATAAGGAAAGGTTCGAAGGCAAAAAACACACCACGACCGCTCGACAAGTTAGAGCCCCTTGACTGTGGCACACCAAGTGATACCCAGCAGAAAAACTATCGGTCGTGTCTGCGGCGATAGTAGCCCTGATGTATTGCTTGATGCCTTCTGCTTGCTTCCAAAGTGGGTGAAAGGAGCTCATCATGTTGTACAGCGGCATGGCATGCACTTGCTGCCCTGGATGATGCGTAACGATCCATTGCTGTTGAATTGTGCAACATAAAAAAGTTTCAGAAACGAGATATCAAAGCTATATAGAGCACGTAGTACCATGTAATATCATATAATAGCATGGCCACCGTGTTTATTGATGAATCTTAAAATGGGTGCAGAACAAAGTGTAGTAGTGAGTCGTATTTGATGGCTTAGGTGCAGTAGTGAGTCATGCTAGATAACTCGGGTGTACGAGGGGTAGTTTTAGGGTGTTGTATGTCTTACGATATTGATTTATGTCTACAGCTGATTCGGTATGCATAGGCCAATAGAAGAAGAGCAGAAAACTAAATAGTAACGTAGTGTGAAAGTGGTGTAGAATATATGGTGAGAGACCGTGCACACAGAAGCGAGATGTTCTGTTAGTGACCAGAGGATCTGACGGCAGGCAATGTCTAGGTTAAGGCTATATAAGTTTAGGTTGTGAGGTGGTCAGTCCTCACAACCTTGTAAGCTATAAATCTACTTTGATCATATAAAGTACTAATTCACTCTAAAACCGTCCGTGAACT